CCCGTTCTCGTCGGGGCCGTCCTGCACTCCACCTGTGACAGGTGAGATACAGACAGGTGAGACACAGGTGACATACAGGTGAGACACAGGGACAGCAGGGTCCCCATGAACATCTCCCTGCTCTCATCAGGACTGTCCTGCACCTCCACCTGACATGTGAGACACAGGTGGGACAGGTGAGACAGGGACAGCCGGGCAGGGACAGCGGGGGTGGCAGCACAGGGACACTGAGACACTGGGGACAGCAGGGGCAGCAGGACAGGGGCACTGGGACACTGGGACGTTGGGGACAGCAGGACAGGGACAGGACAGTGGGACAGCAGGACACGCACACTGGGGACAGCAGGGGCAGCAGGACAGGGGCACTGAGGACAGCAGGACAAAGGTGATGGGGACAGCGGGGGTGGCAGCACAGGGACACTGAGACACTGGGGACAGCAGGGGCAGCAGGACAGGGGCACTGAGGACAGCAGGACAAAGGTGATGGGGACAGCAGGGGTGGCAGCACAGGACACTGGGGACAGGACAGGGACACTGGGGGGGGCAGGGGTGGCAGGACAGGGACAATGACAGGGACACTGGGGACAGCAGCACAGGGGCACTGGGACACTGGGACGTTGGGGACAGCAGGACAGGGGCACTGGGGACAGCGGGGGTGGCAGCACAGGGACACTGGGACACTGGGGACAGGGCAGGGGCACACTGGGGACAGCAGGACAGGGGCACTGGGGACAGCGGGGGTGGCAGCACAGGACACTGGGACACTGCAGGCAGTCACAGCGACACTGGGGGTGGCCGCAGTGACACGGGGGGTGGCACAGGGGTGGCACAGGGGGTGGCACAGGGGGGCAGGGTCCCGGTGTCACCTCCTCTGCCAGCGCCTTGGCCTCGGCCTCGGTGTGGGTGACGCCGATGAGGTTCCGGAAGGCCAGGAACTCCATGGAGTGACAGGCAGAGGGGTTACAGACCCCAAAATCACCCAAAATCACCCCAAAACAACCCCAAAATGACCTGGAACCCCCTATGGACACTGTGGGGGCAGAGCTCAGACCCTCCAGGGACCCCCAGAGACCCCAAATCCCCACAGGGACCCCAAATCCCCCCAGCCCCATTACCTGCTGTGCTCCACAGACCCCAAACCCCCCCAGGACCCCCCATTCCTCACCTGGCGTGGTCCAGCGCCGCCAGGTAGCCGCCGTGGCTCCAGGGCAGGCTCGGGGGGTGCAGCTCCAGCTCCCCCGCGCTCAGGGGGCCCCCCCCGAGGGACAGGGACAGCGCCACCGCCAGCGACCCCCCCCCGGCCACGGCCCCCAGCACGGCCAGGGCCCGGCGGGAGCGGGAGCGGCCCGGGAACGACGACAGCGACACCACACCTGGGGGGGCACGGGGGGCTCCAGGGGCACCGGGGACTCCAAGGCTCAGAGGGGACAAAAGCAATGGGGGGGCCCGGGGACACCGGGAACAGCGGGAATACCGGGAACAGCGGGATCACCGGGAATAGCGGGAACAGCGGGGATAGCGGGGACACCGGGAACAGCGGGGATAGCGGGAATACCGGGAGCGGGAGCAGCGGGGACACCGGGAACAGCGGCATTACCGGAATCCCCGGGAGCAGCGGGGACACCGGGAATAGCGGGGACACCGAGATCCCCGGGAATAGCGGGAACGGGAGCAGAGGGATCCCCGGGAGCAGCGCGAAGGGATCCCGGCCTTACCGGGAGCAGCGCGAAGGGCGGGCAGAGGGCACCGCGGGCACACCGGGCACAGCTCCCGGGGACCCGCGCGGAACGGGAGCACCGGGAGGGGCTCGGGCAGGAACCGGGGACACCGGAACGGGGAGCGCTGAGTGGCGATCGGGGTGGGAAAAGGAACCGGGACACCGGGCGGGGCTGGGGCAGGAACCGGGGCACCGGGGACCGGGAGGGGAACCGGGCACACCGGGGACCGGGAGGGGAACCGGGGGCACCGGGAACCGGGAGGGAAACCGGGGCACCGGGGACCCGGAATGGAACCGGGGGCACCGGGAACCGGGGCACCGGGGACCGGGAGGGGAACAGGGCACACCGGGGACCGGGAGTGGAACCGGGGCACCGGGCGGGGCTGGGGCAGGAACCGGGGCACCGGGAACCGGGGGTACCGGGCACACCGGGAACCGGGGCACCGGGGACCGGGAGGGGAACAGGGCACACCGGGGACCGGGAGTGGAACCGGGGCACCGGGCGGGGCTGGGGCAGGAACCGGGGCACCGGGAACCGGGGGTACCGGGCACACCGGGAACCGGGGCACCGGGGACCGGGAGGGGAACAGGGCACACCGGGGACCGGGAGTGGAACCGGGGCACCGGGCGGGGCTGGGGCAGGAACCGGGGCACCGGGAACCGGGGGTACCGGGCACACCGGGAACCGGGGCACCGGGGACCGGGAGGGGAACAGGGCACACCGGGGACCGGGAGTGGAACCGGGGCACCGGGCGGGGCTGGGGCAGGAACCGGGGCACCGGAGGGACACCTGGGGGGGCACGGGGGGCTCCAGGGGCACCGGGGACTCCAAGGCTCAGAGGGGACAAAAGCAATGGGGGGGCCCGGGGACACCGGGAACAGCGGGAATACCGGGAACAGCGGGATCACCGGGAATAGCGGGAACAGCGGGGATAGCGGGGACACCGGGAACAGCGGGAATAGCGGGAATGGCAGCAGCGGGGATAGCGGGAATAGCGGGAGCAGCGGGGACACCGGGAACAGCGGCATTACCGGAATCCCCGGGAGCAGCGGGGACACCGGGAATAGCGGGGACACCGAGATCCCCGGGAATAGCGGGAACAGCGGGGACACCGGGAACAGCGGGGACACCGGGATCCCCGGGAGCAGCGGGAATGGCAGCAGCGGGAACGGGAGCAGCGGGATCCCCGGGAGCAGCGCGAAGGGATCCCGGCCTTACCGGGAGCAGCGCGAAGGGCGGGCAGAGGGCACCGCGGGCACACCGGGCACAGCTCCCGGGGACCCGCGCGGAACGGGAGCACCGGCCCAGAGGGGACCCCGGGGCTGGGGGGTCTGGGGGCTGCAGGGCTGTCCGTGTGTCCGTCCGGGGCTCTGTCTGTCCGTGTGTCTGTCCGGGGGTCGGTCTGTCCACGTGTCTGTCCGGGGCTCTGTCCGTGTCCGTGTGTCTGTCCGTGTGTCCCTCTGGGGCTCTGTCTGTCTGTCTGTATGTCTGGGGGTCCATGTGTCTGTCTGGGGCTCTGTCCGTGTGTCCGTCTGGGGGTCTGTCTGTCCGCGTGTCTGTCTGTGTGTCTGTCTGGGGGTCTGTCCGTGTGTCTGTCCGCGTGTCTGTCTGTGTGTCTGTCCGGGGGTCTGTCCGTGTATCTGTCCGCATGTCTGTCCGTGTGTCCGTCTGGGGGTCTGTCTGTCCGCGTGTCTGTCCGCGTGTCTGTCCGTGTGTCCATCTGGGGGCACATCAGGGTCCGGCTGTGACTCTGTCCGTGTGTCTGTCTGTGGGTGCGTCCATGTGTCCGTGGGTCTGTCCGTGTGTCCATCCACGGCTCTGTGTGTCCGTGTGTCCGTCCGGGGCTCTGTCCACGGCTCTGAGGGTCTGTCTGTGTGTCCGTGGGTCCTTCCAGCAGTCTGTCCGTGTGTCCGGGGGGTTTGGGCTCTGTCCGTGTGTCTCTCCAGGGCTGTCACTGTCACGGGGGTCCCTCTGTCCGTGGGCCTGTCCCTGATGGAGATCTGTCCGTGTGTCCATCCCTGTGTCCATCCCGTGTCCCTGTGTCCGTCCCATGTCCGTGTGTCCGTCCGTCACTCCCAGCAGAGCACGTTCCAGAGCAGCAGCCAGCAGGGGTAGGCGCCCAGGCAGAGCAGGGGGCTCAGGTGGGCTCAGGTGAGGGGGCTGTCCCTGTGTCCGTAGGTCTGTCCGTGTCTCTGTCGGTCTGTCCGTGTGTCCGTCCCGTGTCCGTGTGTCCGTCCCCGCTGTTCATTTCCAGAAGAGCACGTTCCAGAGCAGCAGCCAGCAGGGGTAGGTGCCCAGGCAGAGCAGGGGGCTCAGGTGGGCTCAGGTGAGGGGGCTGTGGCTCTGTCCGTGTGTCCGTGTGTCCCTCCCGTGTCCGTGTGTCCGTCCCCGCTGTTCATTTCCAGAAGAGCACGTTCCAGAGCAGCAGCCAGCAGGGGTAGGCGCCCAGGCAGAGCAGGGGGCTCAGGTGAGGGGGCTGTGGCTCTGTCCCTGTGTCCGTGTGTCCGTCCCTGTGTCCGTGTGTCCCTCCCGTGTCCGTGTGTCCGTCCCCGCTGTTCATTTCCAGAAGAGCACGTTCCAGAGCAGCAGCCAGCAGGGGTGGGACACCAGGCAGAGCAGGGGGCTCAGGTGAGGGGGCTGTGGCTCTGTCCCTGTGTCCGTGTGTCCGTCCCTGTGTCCGTGTGTCCCTCCCGTGTCCGTGTGTCCGTCCCCGCTGTTCATTTCCAGAAGAGCACGTTCCAGAGCAGCAGCCAGCAGGGGTAGGCGCCCAGGCAGAGCAGGGGGCTCAGGTGGGCGCCGTGCAGGTGCTCCTGCAGCAGCCCCTGGCCCAGCGCCCCCAGGAAGCGCTGCCAGGCCTCGCCCAGCCCCGCCGGCGCCTCCAGCAGCTCCCGCTCCAGCAGCACGGCCAGGAACAGCGAGAGCCCGGGCGTGGTCAGCACCAGCAGCACGGCCAGGGGCAGCCTGCAACGGGGAGGGGGCTTAGAGACCCCCGGGACCACCCTGAGACCCCCGGGACCACCCTGAGACCCCCGGGACCACCCTGAGACCACCCAGGAACAGCGAGAGCCCGGGCGTGGTCAGCACCAGCAGCACGGCCAGGGGCAGCCTGCAATGGGGAGGGGGGTTACAGACCCCTGGGACCACCCTGAGACCCCCGGGACCACCCTGAGACCCCCGGGACCACCCTGAGACCACCCAGGAACAGCGAGAGCCCGGGCGTGGTCAGCACCAGCAGCACGGACAGGGGCAGCCTGGGGGGACCCCGGGCCTAGAAACCCCCCTGTCCCCAGGCTGTCCCCGTGGCTCACCTGTTGCCCAATGTCTCCCCTGTCCCCAGGCTGTCCCGTGTCTCAGCTGTCCCCAGGCTGCCCCCAGGTGTCCCACCAGGTGTCCCAGTTGCCCCCAGGTATCCCCCATGTGTCCCAAGTGTCCCAGGCTGTCCCCATGTATCCCAGGTGCCCCCAGGTGTCCCCATTGCCCCCAGGCGTCCCCAGGCTGCCCCCAGGCTGTCCCCAGGTGTCCCCCAGGTGTCCCCCAGGTGTCCCCATGTATCCCAGGTGTCCCCAGGCTCACCTGTTGCCCCCAGGCTGTCCCCAGTTGCCCCCATATATCCCATGTGTCCCCAGGTGTCCACAGTTGTCCCGAGGTGTCCCCAGGTGTCCCCAAGTGT